GACATTTGAACTGATTCTGAAGCGGTCCAAAAAATCACATTCCTACAGTTTAACAGAAAGTACAAAAGCTTGACTGTGTGAAATCAACCAACAACAAACCATTTTTTAGGGCAATAGAGTGGTGCAGAAAATAGTCCTAAAACCTGGATATGAAGTGAGCATATTACTATATCTGGTTCTTTTGTCGATGCCCTATATAATAAGGTCTGTGGGTTGACACAAACTCGGAGAGAATGTCCTACTTTTTGAAATACGTTAATACATAAAAACAACAGCTTGCCACCAAGTGACCTAAATGAGACCACTAAAATGTCATCCCTCCTAATATTGGATGCTTTAGCATTAGCGGGAGATGCATAGAGCCATGTGACTGTTTTGTACGTTTGCATATTCTAACGCTAGCTTTTACTAGTGGATGCACCAATATCGCGGCCGCCAAAGTTATCGGCCGAAAATGGTTAAAAATGCTGGGTTTCGGCTGAATGGTTGAAAAGGTTTTAGCACCGAAAAGATACTCACCGAAATGTCAGAGAACAGGGTTACGTTGGTAAAGCTAACGTGTTGTTGTGATGACGTAATCAAAAACGCGGCGACCAGCACGGGTCAGACGGCGCGCGAATGCTCGATGCTCCGGCGGCTGGCTTGCACACGCCAGATCTGCTGTCGGGCTTGGAGATATTATGCAAAAATATCAGAGAAAGAGAGCGCGGATTGCGATTTGTAAAACGTGTGGCGTTCAGCTGACACTATTTCCTCGAGGGGGTGTGACTGCAAGACTTTAATCACTAGGATCCGGGCGATACTCAAGATTTCCACTTGAAATCAAAACAGCCCGACAAATATGCGGAGTAAGAGATCAAATCCTGGAGTCCCTTTGCGGGCGAAGCAGCTGACAGGCGAGAGACTCGCAACGGCGGGACCTTTCAGCGCTGCCTGGCGAGAGGCTCATGTGCTTCGTAATTGCGATGAATGAAGAAGGAGTGGCGAACTGTATGGAAGCTGATAAAGCAAGAAGCTACTGTTCATTATCTTAGCAAAGAACCTCCCACTTTTCCCCTTAATAAGTAGAGAAGGCCTGGCTTATCATAAGCTTATCTAGTGTTCTACATGTCTAACTCTATACCCACTAGCTTCCTGAACAATTTTCATTGTGAGTTATAATTCACCATCTCAGGTTATAAATTAGGGGGAAATGGACAGCAGCACAGTGCTCTTCAATATATTTGTACCTTTCGGTATCTAACTATACATGTTGTTTACATTGCTCATGAGGACAGACACATTATTTGCAGATTCTGAAATTGTAATTAAATTTGTAATTGATGTGGGATTTTGTAATCAGTTTTCACTTATGTTCTTATACAATGTGTAACGTACTTTGCTTTATGAGTGACAGACAGCCTTATTTACAGATTCTTGAAATTCAATTGTAAATTTCATTTTGTAAATCGTTACATTCATGTGGATTTTCCAGTTTGCAATTTGTATGCATGCACATATAGGTGCATTTGTTGTATGTTGATAGCTGGCTGTTACAGTCTCTAGTACACTGGTTAGTTGAAGGCCATACTCGGTCTAGACTGTTTATGCACAGTTTTAAAGCACCTTGGCTTTGTTCTGAATGCACTTTGTTGTAGTTATCCTACAGAGAAAAGAAAATGCACTTGACTTGGATTAATGTACTGTATGCATTCAAAAGTGCTGAATAAATGTTTTATGGACCCATAATAGTGATTATTATTTAAGTTAAGTTTTGCCAGAATCAGGTAGCTGAACAACATTGGTAAAAATGTATACATTATATATATATATATATTTCTATTAATCATTTTCGGCCTTTCGGCATTCGGTTTTCGGCTAACTGTTTCCTATTTTCGGTATCGGTTTTGGCCAAGAATTTCCCATTCGGTGCACCCCTACTTTTTACTTCTAAAGATTGCATTTACACTTAATGTTGCTAAGTGATAATTTGCTGCTGTACAAAATGTCTCAAGTATTATGAGCATGTGTTTGCCTTAATTCATATTTTCTGCAATCTTTTTAAAAACCCAATTAAAAGATTCCATGACTTTTTGGCGAGTGAGTCCACACGATGCTAACTTCCGGGTTGTGCCTACAAAATACCTCATCACTGCACAACTATACATGTTCATAGTTATTTACTTTGTGATTAGAAAATGATGACATATTTACAAAGACAGTGTGTATAATAATGTTATAGGCAAGCATAATGCTGCAGGGCTATAAGTATTCATGTCGTTTTGTAAAAACACTCACATCCATTATATCTCATTCAGAAAAACATTTCATTCCAAATGACTAACTGACTAAAGTTATTATTACTTGATTGACATCTTCATATAATATATAGTGTTGGTTTGTCATATATCGCAGTGCATCATATTTCATTAATTTATCAAATGTTCTCTATTTGAATATGCAATGTCATGTACTGGCTTTCATCAATTTTGAAACACAGATAAATCGTATCTGTAATTGTATTTACAACTTGATGTGATAATCAACAAAACTTTTCAACAATATCCGCCACATAATGAGAATGGATTGATGCTCTCTTCCTACAGGCAAGTCAATGGCTGAACTTTTTATGAAGCACCAAGTCCTTTTTAGGATAAAAGCCCTTTTCCCCACAAATCACCTCTATTTTTCTTCAAGACAACAGCAACAGATTAGGCGTGAAAAGTCTACTTTGTTGCATCTGTAAATACCACATTATATTTCCCCAAAGGAAAGACCTGAACTGTGGAAAAGCAAAGCCTTTGTTTTGTAAAGCGCTCATCATCTGTTTCCCTGTGGACTCCAACAGGTAACCATTAGTCAGGCCTGCACGTTCTTCATAATCAATTTACATATTTTCAAACCATTCATCTCCATATCCCCGTTTGACTTCTATATTAGATGCAAAATGTCAGATACTGTAATAATGGTGAAGCAGCGCTCAGGATTATTGCAAAATCGCCAAATCAAAATAATTTCTTACCCTGTTATCTTCCTCTGGCAGTCTGCCAGGATCTGCTGTTTTTCTGTGTATCAGAGAGATGGAGATGAAGACATTTAGTACTGTGATATCTAAATATCTCATATTTGATCCATTACAAGGAAGTGATAAGCAAACAATTGTATTATAAACAACAGAGATATTTCTCGGCAATAAACTAGAGCTTCATTTATATTTCTGCAACAAGTGGTTATTGTCTAGTTGCCAGCATTGTAAAGCCGGAAATGTTGAGTACCCAAAGTTTTATGTTAGAGATGTATCATAGGGGTCCCCAGCACAAAGAAACTGCCGGATGATAACTTCCATGTTGGGCAATTTGTACAATTAACATCAATGGCATTATGTGGACAACATTAAAAAAATTAGTTGCCCGATTTAGACAATTTTGGAGTGGTTTTGGAGGTTATAGCAACACACTCTCACTCCCTAAACGTCCAGGAGCGACGCTTGGTCAGGGTCCCGTGGCGTGCAGTTGGGACGCGCCGAGGCTCCTTCAGCTTCATAAACGGACACAAAGAGCTTTCAACTGATTGCAATGTATTCCCATCGGCGGCGGTATTTGACGCTCATGGAAGCACAGCATCCATTTATGTCGGCAGCTCTTAAAGCAGGTGTCTCAGACTCAAGGCCCGGGCCAGATGTGGCCCGCGAGACAGTTTCTCATGGCCCCTTTGTTGATATCATGTAATAGTGTTAATCTGGCCCGCGCGTTTACGTTTGCGCTTTATATTTCAATTTTATTTTTCCCGCTGCTGCTGCTGGCAGGGAACTGCTGCGCGCAGTTCCCTCGCCCCTCCCCCCTCCGAGGGAACTCCGCCACACGTCAATCAAATGCGCGCAGCGGAATCAATCCAGAGTGATCCAAAAGTGACACAGAGTGGAAGCAAAATATATCGCCATGTCTTCATCAAAACTTTCAGGGAAAAGAAAATCGATGATGACAACAGAACATTTCAAGAGAAGTGGGAGACTGAATATTTTTTTGTTGAGTACAGGGGAAACGCAACGTGCCTTATATGCACAGAGAAAATCGCTGTATACAAAGAGTATAACGTCAAACGTCACTACTCAACTAAACATGCAGAGTATGTAAAATACCTGGGAGATGAGAGAGAGAAAAAAGTCACAGAGCTAAAAAAAATTCTATGGAAGCAACAAAATCTCTTCAAGAAAGGAAGCAATGAGGCTGATTTAGCAGTCGAAGCTAGCTATGTGGTGAGTGAGATGATTGCTAGGGCGGGAAAGCCGTTTACGGAAGGCGAGTTTGTAAAAAAATGCATGTTGCAGGCTGCATGTATAGTCTGTCCGGAAAAGAAGGGTCAGTTCAACAACATCAGCCTGTCAGCTAACACAGTGGCAGAGCGCATTCTGACTTATCAAGTGACATATAAGATCAGCTGTGCGACAAGCCAAACTTTTCGCTGGCATACTCTGTGGCTCTCTTGATGAAGAGCACCAGACATCACTGACACCGGCTCAGGCACTCGCCCAATGTATGTCCGTGTGTGTTGATGACAATTTTGAAGTGACAGAGAGTTGCTTTACAGTGAAACCACAATGCCAATGGCCAGACACCCACCGCTCAGGGAGATATTTTCAGCAACTGGTTGTGATGCCATTGCGGATATCGGTCTGCCATGGAAAGAGGTATATGTTGGAATATACGGACGGACGGAGCGCCATCAATGACAGGGAGAAAAAAACGGGCTGGTGCACTTTGTCAAAGAAAAAACTGGAGGAGGAGGGTGTGGTAGAGGAGAGGGAGGCTATTTGCCTCTGCACTGCCATCTATCCATCAGCGCAGGCCCGTTTGCAGCAAATGCTTGAAGTGTTGACGAATGTGTAGGATGTCTGTAGTTGTGAAAAACATACAGCCAGGGCTAAAGCCAACGCCTTACGCTCATAATCGCAGCTCGCAATACGAGGCTTAAATCACAGACCGACGGTAGCCAGCATGGATCCTGAATGCAGTTTTTGAGTGACGAAGGAAATTGATGAGGTCAGAATAAGTTGCGGATGGATTAGCTGCTAACTCTCACCAGAGGATACGGTCTGACCTCAGCAGGGGACAAACGTCTGAAGAGCCATTTACTTGCGAGTTGCAGAACAGAACTGAACCAGACAGACAGTAATCATCGCCTGGAGAAGAGTGGGATGGCTGTTCCAGAGCTGAGTGACTACCCAAAATAGGCTCATGGACTATAGCTTTTCTTGTTGGCATCACGGCCAGGGCTTGAATACTCTGAAACAGTACAGAAGTTGCAAAGGGCCAGCGTCAGCTTGTTATGCAGCATATGACAACGTCGCTCAGACAGCATTCTCTACATATCTGATGCTATTGGAAAGGGCCAGTGAAAAAAACTCTGCATTTCCAGCACTCGCAAGGGCTCTCATCGGACACCTAGTTCACCGCATTCGACACTGGTGAGAAGTAAAAATTGACTGCAATTGTGAAGGGGCTAGGCAGGGAATTCGAATCAGCCGGTTTGCAGACTTCTAAACACGACCGCAGAGCCACTTTGCAGCAAATGTTTCCGCAGACCATGCTCATGGACTTAAGCTTCTCACTTTGATGTGGAACAAAATGCGCCTCGGTGTCGCATTGCAAATGGACTAAATCGACCTCGCAGTGCAATTCCTGATGGCTCAAAGAAGTTCAGGGAATGAGATGGGACCAAAAGCAGACAAAAGCATGGGACAGTTGAAACATAGAAGAGAGTATTGCCCAAGCAAAAAAAAATATAAATGACAAAATGTCATAGAGACAAAATTCACATAACCAAAAACTGAAAAATGATAAAAATAATGGAAAAGAGCACAACAGATAAAACAAAAATCCCTACATGAAAAAAAAAACAACTCAATTACACCAAAAAGGCCACACAACCAAACACACACCCACAACCCATCCAACACCCCCAAAAACCCAAAAAAAAAAAAAAAAAAAAAAAAAAAAGAAAAAAAAAAAAAAAAAAACTAAAAAATATAATCCCCAAAGTCATGACAACAGAAAAAGATACTCAAAAAAATAGAAAACAGAAAGAAGGCAACAAGCATTCGAGTAGAGAAAAAAAAAAAAAGAAAAAAAAAAATGAAAAAAAAGATATTATATGCAAAAATATTAGAAGTGAAGCATAAAAAAAAAAAATGGAAAGTAGGAAAAAAAATTCGAAAATCAGCAGGAAAAAAAAATTGATCAGAAAAAAATCAAAGGAGAAAACACACAGAGAAGTATCCACATATTCCAATAAAGAAAAAAAAAAAAAAAAAATAATTGCAGGAAAAAAAACAAAAACAAACTCTAAAAAAATACATCAAAAACAATATAAATAATGAAATGAAAAAAAGAAAATGCCACCTAGGTAGTAGACTTAACAAAAATGAAAGAGAGCTCATCGAAAAGAAAAAAAAAAAAAAAAAAAAAAAAAAAACCAAAATAGCAGTGCAAAAAAAATATACTCGAGAAATACAAAAAAAAAAAGCCAAAAAGAAATAACAGAGAGAAAAAAAGGTAGAATAATGGAAAGGAAAGGCAGACAAAAAAAAGCAAAAAAAAAAATAGGACAGTCAAAAGAGAGATGAAAAAAAATGAAAAAAAACTTAAAACCCCCAAACCTCGACAAAAAAAATTACCACTAAGAAAGAAAATTTCAACAGGAAAGATGATTGAAAGCAGGACCAATGATAGACAACTTTCTAAGAGAAAGAAAAAACGCACTAATAATAATGGTGAACCAGCTCTTCATCCACACAGAATAAACTATCAATAAGTCAAAGTACAGGTCAAAGAAATATATAGAAAAACAAAAAAAAAAAAAAAAAAAAAATGCAACATCATTCAATGCCATACTAGAGGAAGATATTCAACGAACTTCCTCCAACTCAAACAAAAGTAAAAAAAAAAAAGAGAAAAAAAAAAGGCAATCAGACTGTAAGTATAAGAATAAAGAGGAAAGCAAAAGGACTGCCAGGATCTCTACCAAGCCAAGGAGAAAAAAAAAAGGAAAAAAAGAATAAGAGCAAAACAATGATAAAAAATAAGAATAAAAATATAAATATGTATGAAAAAAAAAAAAAAAAAAGAACAAAAAAAAAGTTCAAAAATATTAAAAGAAAGATAGTTGAAGACTAGTATAAAAATGATTGAATAATATAAAATATATAAATAAATGTTTTGCGGAAACATACTTGAAGCAGGAAAGAAAAAAAAAACCAACAGAAGAAGACAATTATGACCCAAGACGCAAAACGAATCCACGGCCACCCAAGATAAATTGAGCATGAGACCCTGCATATTAGAACCCTCCAAAGAAATATGCAAAAGAGACAAAAAATACACACTTGATATATGCGGAGCTATAATAATCACTTTAGATTATGCAGATTAAACATGCGAGAAAAAAAAGGTTTTTATAGATGATTTATATGGTTTGAAAATTGCAAAGGAAAAGTTGCGAATTATGCAAATTAGCGAAATATGCTAAATAATGCGAGAGAAAAAGATAATAATGGTTTTATAAAAAATATGAAGAGACTAGATACTATAATATAATTCTACTCTCACACACAACCTGCCACTACGTTAAACCCTTTACTATTCCAATTAAACACCATTCCAATGTTTATTTATTGTAAAAGCAATTGGGCTATTTTAATCTCACACACACACACCCAACCCCACCACTCCCACCACCACAAACACACAACTACACACAACACAACACACACACACACACACAATCACACACACAACAACCCAAACACAACACCACAACACCACACACACACTAACACCCACACAAGACACACACACACACAACAACACAACACACACAACAACACAACACACACACAAACACACACACCAACACACACAAAACTTCTCCAGACAACTACATTATGTTTTCATTTACTCAAAAAGTAAATCGTTATAACTGAACCAGCATTCAAATTCTTGTAGAGCATAAATCACAACTTATTATCTTGATAGCGCAATCACA